TCATAATACCCTCTGCAAGGGTATAATGAAATCTTTACATTTCCCTTTTTTTTATAATAGAATTTCCATTACAATAGATTTCTCTTACCGGTCGTGAGCAGCTGCTTAAACCTACACCATTTTAAATGTGCCACCCACTTAACCGCACTGGAAAAGTGGGCTCCAGTGGGTCCTGGCCAAACTATCAAAGTTAACGTCAACTTGAGCTGAAAACTTTTGGCCAGTTCTGCATTGTTTTATAATCAACTTGCACATAATTTATATGCATGAAAGTTGGCCAGAACCCCCCGTCGTCTGTCGGTTGTCGGTTTGCCTGATAAAAGGCAGCCACAATGGGCAAAGGTTAACCAAGACACATAGGAGCGGCAAAGAAAACACACATCCATCCACGCATTGTGTTGTAAAACTAATCTCAACAAATTATCTTTCTAGCATTCGCATTCAGACTTCGTGCAGTGCCTACTTTGGGGGATGGGAGAAAGTCCAGTCACAGAGAGAAATTCAACTTTTCTCAGACAGTGGAGAAAGTTTTTCGGTGCAGAAAGTTGATGCGATTATGATTTTCAATTTTCAGCAGTCAACGCCGAAAAGCGAGAATGAACATCATAAAGTCCTGCCTGCCGACTGTGGTGGTGGAAATGTGGAAATGAGGCAACGAGCGAAATGTGGAAATGCCAGCCGAACAAACACAACCGCAGGGCGGATGAAAGAGAGCTACAGGAAAATGTGATAGATGGATAATGTCCTGGCGGGGGAGCTTTATGCGACGGGGGAGCCGTGCGCTTGCGGCGTCCGACAATAAATTGAGTTTTGCCCGTCCATGTCCATGGACCTGGGTCCAGGACCCATTCCAAGTCCAAGTCCAAGCCGAAAAGCAGCAGCTGTTCCACACCCAAACTCCCGAACAGTAGCAGCAAAGCCCCAGCTCAGTTATAACATTTATCGTTGTGCAAACTGCCAGTAGCAGCCGTAGAAGTTGTCCGTTTCCAAGGGATAAGGAAGCAGACAATGCCAGAGGAAAGTCCACCCATGTGAATACACGTTGATAAATTCAGGAACTATAATTACAAGAAAAAAAGTATTAGTGTAAAAGAGCATAAAATTATTTATTTGATGTGAGCCTAAACTTAGTTTCAATATTTAAAATAAAAACAGTTTAGTACACCACCAAAATAATAAAAAAAAACTGTTTTTATCCAAAATTCGAAAATTTTAAATTTAAATGTTTTAAATATGATCAATACTTTTTTTAATAATTATTATTTTATAAACGAAAAGTTAACATTTTCTTTCAGTGCCTTTATTTTAGTGTTCAAATAAAAGGCCACACTGCACAGTGGTTGTCAGAGAGGAAGAATTGGAGGAAGGATTGGACAAATTAAAGTGGCTGTCAACGTAATGAAAATGGGACAGCACAGTGGTTGTAGGCAAGTAACTATATTACATTATTTGATTGATTGCAAAATGTTAATTATTTTTTACGCAGTATGGATGTCTTATGTTTCAGATATTTAAGTTCATATTATGAGCTTACGAATTTAATGGATATAAAAATTAACATATTTTATATTTTAACTCAAATATGTGAAAAATTTATTTGGTTACTCAAATTGTGTAATAAAAGTAGTTTTTAATGTACAAATTGATATTTTGTTCTTTAAATATTCAGTTCATTCCACTGTACTGTCCATATATTTTGTGTGTCTATTCCGGTTTGAGGAATCGAAATAAAAAACATTTTGTTCACATATTTGGTTTGATTTATACAAAAATTGTACGTTTTATGTTCGTTTTGTTGCTGTATAACCCCGTCGCTCGGTCCCCAAAAAAAAGTCACTTCTCGTGCGGCTCGTTTATTTTTCATTCCTGTTCAAATTATATTGTTGGCCAACAACAGCAAGGCTGTCGGCATCCTCGTTGATTTCAGCCCTGTTTTGTTTGACTGACAGCGACACCAGCAACATACCAGCAGACCCGCCCCAGGTCCCCAAAATCCGACCCAAGGGAACCCATCCGGCCATCAGCATTAACGCGCTCCGTTGCCGCTCACCCATAATCCTTTCAATTTTTAAATCATTTTTTATTCCAACCTCTCTTGTTGGCCTTTTTGTGCGACCCTTTTATGAAGTCGTGCCTCGACCCTCGCCGCAAATATTTATGAAATGAATACCCTCGAATTCCCGGCGCTTCTCTGATTGATGCCCACTGATGATGTCCGATGGGGGAAAAGAAGAAGCGGGTTCGATGGGCAGGCCCATCCCAAATCACTTTGGAGCTCACCCAATCGACCGACATCGTCTAACGACAATGACATGTTTATCCAGGCGGCATTCCGAGCCCCGATCATTTACACCTTTGCATCCCCATTCGCAATTCCATCAATTACAGCATTTAATCAACTCGTTAAGCCAGCTCGACCGAGCCCCAGCCAGACTGCGGCACCTGTCGATAACCTATAGGGAAATGGACACTGAGAAAAAATTCTTTTGGTATTTGGGGAAGTAAAATAATAATATCTGTATGTATAATGCATAATGTATAAATTGAATGACCATAAGATAATTACCAAAAATCGTTTAATTTGATTTATTAAAAAATTAATTTATATATATAATTCAAATTTACATGTTTATAGAAATGTTATTCACAGAAAAATGTTGTGGGGAAAATTCTTCCATGTTTCTTATCAATAAACAAACACGATATGATAAGTGTTATCAGTTATTTCATAGGAATTATAAATTTATTATTTTAAAATACCATGTATAGTATTTTTCTTAACAAATAGTTTAAATGAAGATAAATGTAATCTTTATTCATATCAAACTGATATCTTAAAAGCAAATTTTGTTCTGTGTAGGTTGCAATGACATTTTGTTCGAAATGAGCGCAAGTGTCAAATAGTTATAAAGTAAACTTGTAAAACAAAATAAATTAATACGTATTTAATTAAGATTACTGCCTATTTCTAAGAAAAGTGTTTACGTAAATTGCATTTGTAGACATTTTTAATGAAAGGTGAGGGTTATCTTGGAAATACATTTGTTGTTTTTTTATATACCTTGTATTCTATATTGTTTCCAATAAAAATATTAGTTAATATTAATAAATTTCTTACATTAAAAAGAATATTATAAGATCAATCCGTAAATGGTAAATCAGTCAAAATAAAAAGATTTTTTGGGCACTGTATTGGAGGGGGAGAAATTTGGGGCGTCGGCCGAGTCGGTAAGGTAATTACGAAAATGAAATCAGTCCGAGGTAAGCTGCATAATGCAGGCGCCGGAGGGCGAAGGGCCTGCAAAATTGAATGACCAGTTGATCGGCCAAGGGGGTGGTGGCAAGGCAATGGCGATGGTGATGATGATGATGGTGGTGCTCCTGATGGCTGTGGAAATTGTGGTATGTTTTCTTAGGGGCGTGGCCAGGCAATTGTTTTCTGACCCTCCTTCGGTGGTCATATTGGCCACATGTCCATGGCACCCCAAAAAAAGAGAAGGGAAAGTTGCAGGAAAATTCTGTGTTTGTCAAAATTTGATTGCATATTTGGTTGTCTGTCAATTTTGCCAAAAGATTGATGCGTAATTAGGTTGCAGTCATTGTTTATGGGGTAAATGGAATAAAGGGACTTGGTTGGGGAACGAATATGTATTTGAGTTTAATTATTTTATTTAATTTTCATTTATATAAATATTTAAAATATTTTCCATTAATTAATAAGCATTTGAAATACCTTCAGTAATTAAAAAATTACATTTGCATATCAAATCTTAAATTCCTTTGATTGTTAAATGTTAACTACAACAAAATATGCAAATTATTTCTTAATTCTCTGTTTTATATGTACGACTGGCATTTAACTCTTTTTCTGACCACTAAAATTCTTTTGCGAGCGAGTTGAAGGTGGAAAGGGAAAATAAAAATTGACTGCAAGCCACTTTCACTGGGGGTGGGCAAAAAAATACGATTGAAATGAAAGAATGAAAATGCAGACAGAAAATTGTATGTGCAACTGTGCGTATGCGCAATGTGCCGTCGGCAAACGAAATGAAATGAATTTAATTATGAAAAATTGAGTCCTTTTCGGTTGGGCACTTAAAAATTCAATTAATCTCTTGATACCTTGAAAACGAAATTAATCAAAGTTCTTGCACAAAAACGGTTTACAACAGACAAAAAGAGAGTGGGTGAAAGGAATGTATCAAGTGTTTGATTCTTTTCATGCTCTACTTGAAATTGTTTTTTACAATTTTCTCTCTAGCCAAAAACTCCAATTTCCGCTGAATGAAATCAAAGACTAAAAGGGGGGAGAGTTTTTTTGTTAGAGCATAAAAAAATCGTTTGCCGGTAACAACGGTCGGGGCAAATAAAAATCAAATTTAAAGCTCTAAGAAACCCCTCGGAAAACCGAGCTTCGACCTCGAACAGCAGGCCGAAAAAAGGCTGGGAGGGATTGGTTTGGCCCCATCCCCTGCCCCCTCCCCCTCACACACACAACTAAATGTCGCAATTTTACGAGTCAATATAAAGGTGCCTGGGGAGTCATTTACAGGCGCACAGCGGTTTGCCTTCGCTCGGTTTTCTTTGGCAATAAAACATCTCACAAAGGACACGGGTCACAGGACGCGGAAAGCGGTACGTGGAAATGCCGTTGCCGTTGCCGCAAGGAAGGAAAACGAGGAAAAACACGTGTACGACGGGCCTGCGCCGGGTAAAGTCAAATATGATGGCAATTTTTATGCTTTTTTGTTGAAATATTTCCACCAATGAGGCATAAAACAGAAGCCAAAACGATGCTTCGCTCCGGCCCAAGAATGATTTACGAGGTAGTCTCGAGTTTACGACAAATTTACGAGAACATTGCAATTTGGCTATTATTAATTTACTACAGTGGAGCAACTTTCAGGTGGGCAGCCAAGAAACGAAGTTCCATTCTTTAGCACTTAAAAGGGGATTTAAGTCACACAAAAGAATTTCGAATTTAAGGTTACATTTAAAACTTTTATTTAAAGCTTTTTATTAATTAATTAGTAATAAATAGTATAAATTAATATGGCAAGCTTAGGGCGTTTTATTTTTAAGCACTCTACAATAATTTACCATCTTCGAGTAAATTTAAATGATAAATGAGCCGAGTTTTTGGTGGCTCGGGCAGTGCAGCCGTTGCAGTTTCCATGGACAATAATGTCGCCATTCCTAATGGTTATTTTAGGAATTGTTCCTAAAATTAATTTATATTTATTAAAGAGATCCAGTAAGTGAAAATTTAAGCATAAGAGTTACTCACGAGCATATCCAATTTCGAGTAGGGAAAAAAGCGCCAAAAGCGGGACCAACAACGAAAACCACTTCATCACTGCTACAATTCAGATGATACACTGACTGAGATCGGTCCATCACAGCTCGATTTATATAGCCGCATTACTTTATATCGGCGGTGATTAACACAAGAATTTCAGAAAATACCCTAGAGAATTGTATAAACACACGGGTTTTCCAAAAACCCCCGCTCTTGATAAGCCATCCCAAACAACTGAGAGTTCAGCTCTGTTGCAGTCCAGCTTTAAAGCTTCTGCTCCTCAGCTTCGACGTATAATGAATATACATGTGATGAGCGCTGGCGTAAAAACCAAATGACGTAATGTTGAATATTGAGTGCATTCACAGATTATATTAAAAAAATACAAATACAAAATGTTTAAAAATAAATATTTATAAAAAAAATAATATGGAATTGACTGTGTTAGTTTAATTATAAATTAATAAAATATAAACTTTTTTAGATTTAATATTCGATTAAAACCATGTGAATTAGCTTTTTTCCATAGGGTTGAATCCCACTATTACAAATGACATTATATGTAGATTTGAACTTGTTTGTAAGCACCTACATATATGGACGTTCTGATAAGAAACTTGCGCTGAATTTAAAAGAACAACAATTTTTTTCGGGTAAAATACTATTTTATAGGTCATTTTATAGGCAATTATAGGCAACCAATTGTTTGTTAACTAACATGTCTTCACTTTAGGACTTGCTTTTTCAGAATATTTTGTTGGTTAGTTTAAAAACAATAGTTACGCTCCATGTGGGCTGGTCTGGCCCGGTGCAATTACCTATAACCTTATAGAATCCTGGCGGTACAATTTCCGGTAGTCCCTCGCCATCAACAACGCATTTTTCAGCGGTGTAAATCTTCTTTGGCCATGGCGGTTGGAATTTGTCCTTAAACGTTGGTATATTAGAACAGTGGGCTACGTTCCTCATTATCACATCCTTGTAGTAGGTATTGAGATACTCGTAAAAGGATTGCTTGGGGATCGAATAAGGGAGCACCCTGTAGTCGCTCTCAGCTCCCGAAGAGCTTCGGTAGGCAATGCCCTCCACCTGAAAAGGAATGATATTTCTGTGTATGATTTACTTTATTTGGTTTGACCCACCATGGTTTCCTCAGTCACATCGTACTTCCAATCGGCATTGCCTGATATTCCGTATTCTCCGCGACCTATGCGATCGATACTTATGTTATAACTCATTAAACTTTCATCCGAAGTGTAGCCGGTGATCGAAATGGGTTCGTAGTCCCATTTGCGCTGCAACCAAATATTATGAAGATGATTTACGGGTATGAATACGAAACTTACCGCTGCTCTGATTCCAGTGATCAGCAGGACACCGATCAAAATGTAAACGAACGAGTAGCGGTAACCCATTTGGATAATATTAAACTGTGTACGGTGATGTTCCGCCTTATAAAGGCGACAGCAATTGCATTGCAATGTTGCATGACATTGTTATCAGACTATGTAAAATTGATTTACATTTGTTTTATCTAATGGTCATGTTCATTTAAAGGCCATTGGTAGGGGAGTGTAGGGTAATTTGACGAGTAGGGTAATGTGACGAACTCGTCGAATCTCATATATGACGTCACGACAAAAATTCCAAATAAATGTAGTCGTCTCCCCTTATCGTGTCGACAATGTATTTAAAGTAATATTAATAAGAAGTCCCGTAATTTGTTCGTGAGGTAATTTTCGCTAAAAATGTGGTGCGCAAACTAGCAAACCTATTCAATTTACTTGTGTTTCAGCAGTGCCAGAGCAAAGATGAGTGGAAAATAAAATCAGGCAACACCCAGAAAAATGATGGACAACATTTTAGGTCATGCATAGCCTAAAACATTTTAAATGGACTAAAAGTTCCTTTTTAGGTCATGTACTGCCTAAAAATTTAAATTTTTGGTATATTTGCCCTACTATTTAGGTCCCGTATAGCCTAATATTTTAGGTCATCGTGGGCCTTAAAATTAATGCATTTTACCTAAATAAATTTGCACGGAACTCTGATACCGTTCTAGCGACGCTATAATTCCCAACCACTTATAGCGCGGCTTGCATAGTAACCCACTTCGATCGTTGAATAAAACAGCGATTTCACTGCTGAACAGTGAAGCCTCTTCGCTCGTTTTTGTGTGTTGGCATAATGACGACTTCTTGAAGACTAAGCCGACATTGACCTCGAGTTAGCTATAAATTTCTCTGTATTTACTTTATAATATGAAACATTTTTCAGTACAAATTTTTAGGCCAAAGAAAGCCTAAAATTTTGGATAGGGGTTTTCTCATATTTTAAGGCAGCCAATTACCTAAAATCTAGGCCAAAAATTACCCCATTTTAGGCCATTAATGGCCTAACATTTTAGGTCATACAATCCTACATTTTAGGCCATTCAAGGACTTAGCTCCAGTTTTAGGCCAATTTTACCTAAATTCTAGGCCATTTTTTGACATTTTAGGTCATTTTTTTTTCTGGGTGAAATATATGCACATATACATGAGATCTTTATCAACAGTTTTTGGTACCTCGCGTATTTTTCTTTTGCGCCGTTTGAGAGTGACACCGTTTTTGCTCCAAGTCTACCTTGTAGGGTATCGTGACGAACTTTTTGTAGGGTATTGTGACGAACTTTTTTTATTCAAGAATTTTAACTGTTATCGTTGATTATTTGTAAAAAAAATATAATAATACCATATAACATTTAATACTGCAGTTTTATTGTTGTTTTTAATAGTAAGGTCAGTTTAATTTAATAAAACAAAAAAAAAATTTTTTAATTTAAAAAATTGCACTTTGATTATTTTTTTTGTAAGTTTCGGTATTATCTTATTGCTTCTTTCTTTTCCGTATCGAAAATAACTTTTCCGTAAATTATATATAAAAAAAATTTTTTTTTGTTTGTGAAAAGGATGATTTACACCAAACGCTGTGGGATTTGGCTACGTTGAAATTTCGAATACAAATTTTTCAGAAATATGCTTAGTAAATGTAAGTAACTTTCTGCTTTTACACTTTTAAAAAATATTGATTTTTGGAGAAGTTACATTAAAGAACAAATCGTTCGTCACATTACCCTACAATTTTGAAAGTGCAAAAAAAGAAGGGTTCACGCCAAACGCTGTGGGATTTGGCTGCATTGGAATTTCGAATCCGAATTTTACAGGGATATGCTCAGTAGATGTAAGCAACTTTCAGAGTTTACACACCCAGAAAAATGATGGACAACATTTTAGGTCATGCCTAGCCTAAAACATTTTAAATGGACTAAAAGTTCCTTTTTAGGTCATGTACTGCCTAAAAATTTAAATTTTTGGTATATTTGCCCTACTATTTAGGTCCCGTATAGCCTAATATTTTAGGTCATCGTGGGCCTTAAAATTAATGCATTTTACCTAAATAAATTTGCACTGAACTCTGATACCGTTCTAGCTATAATTCCCAACCAGTTATAGCGCGGCTTGCATGGTAACCCACTTCGATCGTTGAATAAAACAGAGATTTCACTGCTGAACAGTGAAGCCTCTTCGCTCGTTTTTGTGTGTTGGAATAATGACGACTTCTTGAAGACTAAGCCGACATTGACCTCGAGTTAGCTATAAATTTCTCTGTATTTACTTTATAATATAAAACATTTTTCAGTACAAATTTTTAGGCCAAAGCAAGCCTAAAATTTTGGATAGGGGTTTTCTCATATTTTAAGGCAGCCAATTACCTAAAATCTAGGCCAAAAATTACCCCATTTTAGGCCATTAATGGCCTAACATTTTAGGTCATACAATCCTAAATTTTAGGCCATTCAAGGACTTAGCTCCAGTTTTAGGACTATTATACCTAAATTCTAGGCAATTTTTTTACATTTTAGGTCATTTTTTTTTCTGGGTGCACTTTTGAAAAATATTGATTTTTAGAAAAGTTACATTCAAAAAACGAATCGTTCGTCACCTTACCCTACACTCCCCTATATAATACAATAATATAAGCACATAGATACAAATAGTAAAGCATTCTCATAGGTGTAATGTGCTATAACGCAAGTATAAATTTTCCCGTGCTTTAAAGTGAACAATGGATAAGGTATGTTTCGGAACTGAAATATTAAATATTTTTGCTAGACCTTAAATTTATTATTGGCATTACTTACTTTCATTATTGTAAATATATCTTTACGTAATGAACATATTTTTATTTTATTTCAATGTTAACACTTGTAGTGTTTGGATATGGAGACAATAAAATTAAATTTAAATTAAAACATTTTGAGTGTTATTTTAACAATAGCAGTAAAGCTCCATGAGGGCTGATCTGGTCCGAAACCCTTAAATATAATTTTATAGTATCCGGGCGGTACAATGTCCGGAAATCCATCCCCATTCATAACGCACTTTTCACCGATGTAAGTCTTTTTTGGCCATGGTGGTTCGAATTTGTCCTTGAACACGGGAATATTGGAGCAGTGGGCACAGTTTCCTATTATTACATCTTTATAGTAGGTATTGAGATAGTGGTAAAAGGGTTGCTTGGGTATGGACCAAGGGAGCACCTTGTATTCATTCGCATCCCCCGAAACGCTATGGAAGGCATAGGCTTCAACCTGGAAAAGATTGGGGGTTTTATAAAGGATATCCCTAATTAGGCTTTAACCCACCATGGTTTCGTCAGTCGTATCGTAGTCCCACTTGACATTGGCTGAAATTGCGTATTCTCCGCGTCTTATGCGAACGATTTGAATTTTAAAAAGTATCAAACTTTCATTTGAGGTGGTGGAGGTGACCGATAAGGGTTCGTACTCCCATTTGCGCTGCAAAAAATAATTAAAATATTATGAGCTATGAACACAGAACTTACCGCTGCTCTGATTCCATTGATCAGCAGGGTACCAATCAAAATGTAAACGAACAAGAAGCGGGTATCCATACGGACCATAATAAACAGGGTACGGCCATGTCCCTCCTTATAAAGGCGACAGCCACTAATTAATAACGTGCAATGTTGCACGATATTTTTATCAGACAATGTAAACTTAATTTACATTGGTTATATCTAATAGTCATGGAAGGTCATGGGTGTATAATATAGCCCATATTAGATAAATTGTTAAAAAGGGTAAGCTGTAACTACGCTAGCTCGCATTTTCCGGAACTTTAAAGTAAACGATCAAGTCAAATACTAAATATTCTGAATATGTTTTGGTTAGACCTTGAATTTATTACACAGTGCAACACGAAAAATGTAACCGCAGCTTGGTTTTCCAAACCTGAAAGTACTCATCAAACCCATTTAAACCTCGCGTTTGGATTTTTATGGGTGTGAGTGCATTTAAAAAAATTAAAACTATTTCCGTTTTAAGTATTTCCAATTAAAAATGGGAAAAATATAAAGGCAAAGTGTTATTTTGTAATCTTTATTGTTGTTTAATCGCCACCTCCGCTGATGCTGCAGCCGACGCAATCCTTATTGTGAAGGTAAGTGCCACCAGGCAGGCGACCACTGAAGCCATCGGGATAACGAGTGCCACCGCCTCCTCCTCTTCCACCAGATGCAATCGATGGACCAGCTCCCAGAGCTCCTGGATAAGCGTCGGGGGAATTGATGTAGACATTTCCCTGGCCCGGCCTTCCAGTTTTGTAGGCTTGGCCACCGACCACCACGTTTTCCGCCACCGGCGGACTACAATCCCGGCATGCTCCGCCGATAATCACATTTCCGGCTGTGGAGTAATGGAATAATAAGGGAATCGTGCGACCGAAGGGAGACCATCTCATTCTTACCTGTGGCCTGGGAAATCAGGACAACGGCAACGGCAAAGGCTAGAATCAGACACTTCATTCTCGATCTGGATGCAAGACGAATCTGCTCGAGACACATGAAATCCGAAAGCTTTTAAGCGTTCTCCCTGGCTTTGTTATAGAAACCAGATTGCAGCGGACGCCAAGCCAACGGTGGGATGGTGCGGGACTCGCCCCAGAAACCAGTTCAATTGACAGATAATTCTGGGCAAGGGGTTTTCCACAAGCCCCATAGCACTCAAGGTTTTATTTCGATTTTTGTTAGCTAGAAATTGAACTCAATCGTATGCATATGTAACACGCAGTGTTTATCAAAAACCAGATGCTTGTTTTAATTTTTTAAATTGATTCTTTACTCTGCATTTTAAATTCTAACTGTTATGAAATGATATGATAATATTTTGCATTAAAAAGTCTAACTGACATGAAAAAAGTGTAGTGACCAAATAATGTCTTGTATTATTATTACTTTTTCTCTGCATGGTTTTAATATTTTTTTTATGTAAGCTTATATTAATTATTTAAATAAAAATTATAAAAATGTAAAACAACTTAACTACTATGTCGGATTAATTATTAATAATTAATTAACTAATAATATAATTAATTTAATCATTTTTTTAATTTAACTTAATTATTTCTAATGTTTTTTCTTTTATCAAATAAAAACACCTCTTAACGAGGTAAAAAACTAGTGACGATCGCACCTTTAACGTACAAAAGTTCTGATATCAACATTTGTGACGAAAAATTATTACACTCGTCATTAAATAGACTTTCTAATCTTTTCTCATTCGGCCCGCCCTAGCAAACTATTCCAGCCTTTTTCCCTTTACAGGCATTTTCTATTCCAGCGTGACGAATGAGAAAAGATTAGAAAGTCTATTTAATGACGAGTGTAATAATTTTTCGTCACAAATGTTGATATCAGAACTTTTGTACGTTAAAGGTGCGATCGTCACTAGTTTTTTACCTCGTTAAGAGGTGTTTTTATTTGATATCAGAAGTTTTTGTTTGGTTACTTTTGCTCTCATAGATGCTAATATAAACATTTAAATTTAAATTGGTCAATCATAATTTTTAAACTATTGTATTTTAACGAATTAAGATAAAAAGGCGTAGAAGTATTTCAAAATACCTTTTAAACGAGGTATAGCACATGTCTGTACCTTTTGTAGTGTAGAACTTACAAAAAACTAACGAAATTTAGCTATTTTTAGTTTTTTTCCGCTAAAGTAGCGGCTTTTTCCAAAAGTCGTAGAACAAAAGATTCCTATATGGAACTCTTAAGTGCAAATTTACTGATTCCATGACCCTAAAATACAGTTCGGATACCCTCCCACAAAATTCAATACTCAGGGAGCGTTAGTTGTTCTGAGCTGGCAAAAGTGGCTATTTTCGTTTCTAAATAACTTTTAAACGCGACTTTTTACATAAACATGATATATACCAAAATTTAAGGAATCTCAAGGGCTATACAGTTTAAAGTTGTAAGGAAAATCGTTAGAGCCGTTTTTGAGAAAATTAAAAAAAAGCTTAAAAAAAAGTGTTAAAAAATTGTCTTTTGTTCATATCTTTTTAATTATTACATTTACACAAATTGCATATAGAAGGCGTTTACAGCATTTAAAAATACCTTTCAAACGAGATGCAGCACAAGTCTGTAGCTTTAGTAGTATAGAAGTTACGGCTTTCCGAATTTTAGCTATTTATAGCTGTTTTCCCGCTAAACTAGCGGGTTTTTCCAAAAGTGGTAGAACAAAAGTTTTTTATATCGATGTGATGAACGTCATATCAAATTTTCAGAACTTAAAAAACATATTTTGGACAAGTGGACAAGTGGACAAGCGGACAAGTGGACAAGTGGACAAGCGGACAAGTGGACAAGTGGACAAACTGACAAACAGAATTAAATTTTCATTTTGGGAAGAAGAAGAAAATCTTATTTTGGCTATAACTTTTGAACGGAGCGTCGGATTTTGACAAATGACCCCTCATTCGACGGGTATTTTCAAAAGGAATACAACTAAAACATTGCGAGGGGGCATTTATCCCCACCGGCCCCAACAGCTCCAAATTTCGAAATTTTCACTTTTTCACTTTCACCGCTCTTTCTCCCAAGCCAATTGATTTTCTTAAAGTCTTGGTATGCAATCCTTTAAGTTTTTGCAATACCTTTCGATTGGTGTATTACTCATTACGATCGGACTATCACAGCAGATTTTCAATTTTGCGGCTATATAATAGTAGTCGCCTTCGCACACTCTCCTGGTGCGCTTCGTCACTACATGGACTGCCGTCCATAGTGATACTTTATCGATCGATAGTTATTTGTCTACACAAAAATCTGCGTGGAATACTATTTCATCATCACAATAGATTCCGCTAATTTGTTTTTGTTTTTACTTTAAATCTGAGGTCTGTTGATTACATCTTTGTGTTTTTCCAAAACGTCAGACTTGCCGTCGGTTGTCACAGATCCAACGAGCGTTCAATGCACTTGACTCGCTCTACGATCCGAAGCTTAGCTATAAAAGATCAGGTCTCGTAGACCGAGAGCATCAGTTAAAGCAAATCTATTGCCCAGCAATAATCTATTGAGATCTTAAACCGGAACCACCAATCCAGAATCAATATGAAGTTCTTCTCAGTCGTCACCGTCTTTGTGCTCGGTCTGCTGGCCCTGGCAAACGGTGAGTTAAACCTACTAATTTCCAATAGCTGATCCATTAATTAATTTACTATCTTTCCCCCAGCTGTACCCCTGTCCCCCGATCCAGGAAATGTGATTATTAACGGCGACTGCAAGTACTGCAATGTCCGCGGTGGAAAGTAGGACAATCCAAGCCTAAGGATCTACGAAAGGCAAAGCTTACCTCAAACCCAAGACACAATATTTATACTTGTACCTAGAATTTAGAAAAAATGCCAAGCAAACAAATACAATAAACACACTAAAAAAACCTAAAGAGAATTTCTTTTTTCGGTAGTTATAGATTAATCGCCGTATACAATTATTGCTTTAATTCTGGGAATTTCAAACCTCCTCCAATCGGAAATATATTGATTACATTTTTGCTAGGGGTTATCAGTGGCCTCCAATCTTTATGGCCAGATCGGCTCTCGGCTATATAAGATCAGGTCCCGTAAGTCGAGAGCATCAGTCGAAGCCAATCAATTGCCCAGTACACTCTGCATATAAAGTCGGAATCTAGAATCAATATGAAATTCTTCACAGTTGTCACTGCCCTTGTGCTCGGTTTGCTGGCTCTAACCAACGGTGAGTAAAAAATTTATTTATTATTTATAACGTATCTGATTAGTTAGCTAAATATGTATATTTTCCCCCAGCTGTTCCCTTATCGCCCGATCCAGGAAATGTTATCATCAATGGCGACTGTGTTAACTGCAACGTCCACGGTGGAAAATAGAAAAGTTCTATTTCAAGGATCGATAAACCAAAGACCATATTTATACTACCGCTGCGTACTAAAATAAAACCTAGAATCTAAAAAAAAAGGTTCAGCTGTATTTTTACTAAAACTGCATTAAGTTATATTAAATAATGTGATTATTATAAAATGTTGTAGAGATGGTGTAACTGATATAAAGTATACCCTATACTTTATAGGCATAAGGATTCCTCACCCATTGCGCTGTAAAGCTTGTGATTGAAATTAAGAAATTGGAAATAGTTGTTTCTATCTTTGATTTTTATTATTAGTTTCAAATTGTTGCTATAATCTGTGGACTATTAGCCCCGAATATTACATCCGACGCAATCGCTGTTGCGCACCAAGGTTCCGCCGGGATAGGGACGGGAATCGATGGTGGTGATACCATCTCCTGACCAGCTACCGCCCCCTCCTCTGCCGCCAGATCCGCCCAGATCGATGTACTGACCACCGCCCCACTGGCGTTTAGAACGCCTGCTTATATATTGAGATCCCCCTGCTGATTGGTGCAGTGACCAGCCGGCTAGGTCATTATCATCCTCCTCCGATGATGTTGGCCTGCGGGGCGGAGGAGATTTGGACTTCGGTTTGGCTGTGGTTCTGCCACTATTTCCTCTGCCAGTCGTGGGTTTGTGGGTGGTGGTGGTGGTTTGATCATGGGAACAGTTTACGCACTTGCCGTTGATGGAGACCTTGCCACCTGAGAATGGAAACAGATTAATATTCTGGGTAAAACCTTTGGGCTATGAAAACCGACCTTGGACGAAGGCCAACGTCGCCAAGAACAATATCGCCAATAGCGTCAGGCACTTCATTATGCGGCTCTCTAACCTGATCGATCACTGGCGCCTTCTTTTATACCCGTCCCGATTAGCTCAGATCGGCTATCTGTATATATACTGTATACAGAAATGCATATAAAACCGCTCAAGGCTATAAATAAGTATTCCTAAGGCGTGACGTGTTCCTTGACTTTGAAACAAAGCTGAACTATTGGCTGTTACCAGAATAAAAGATGAAAAGGAATTATAGCTTCTTACAAATAATAATAACAGATTATAATTATTTTTTCCGCTACAGATGAACAAACTTCCCACATTTCAAATCGAACAATTTTGCTTATGCTGCTATACAATCGTATACCATACGATTACATTTTTAGACTATCCGTATCCACTATAAAATATTATTCTTTCACGTCGAAGATATATATGAAAGCCATTTTCATTCACGATTAAATTACACTATTTTACAAAACTAATCCTTAGACACGGAAAGAAAAGTTGGATGCTCTGTGCTGTTGGACTCCTTACATTTTGCAATTTTAATAAAATAAAAAAATGTAGAAAAAATATATGAATTTAATTGTATTAACATTACTTAAAGAATTGTTTTTTTAAGGACCTATAAATTAAAAAAATAAATCCATTTTAATAATAATACGGATTAAGTACTTTATTTATATTTTAGGTGTACATGGTACCTGTTCATTTAGAATATAAAACACGTGTAGGTTTGATTAACAGGTTTTTATTTGTTGATACAAATTTTTCTCCACCAAAACAAATGCATATATTGATTATTACGACCCATTGTTTGATATTATTTGTCGTTTTTGCGAATGTTAGAAATGGCAGAGAAATTAATAAAAACAAATGTTATTGGTAAACAAAAATATTATATACGTTCTCTTTAGGGTCAAGATAACTGATATCTCAAAACTACTTAGAGCTCCAATAATTTTCTTGTGAATTTCGTTGCAACTTTAGTTATCTGCTAGTTAATATAACACACCTCTTTGCTTCCCCGTAAACACTGGACTGGTATTTCCAGATTTAAATGCGCAAAAACAAAATACTATTGAACGGTTAACTTTCTGTGTTTTCCCAAACGTCTCAGATTTGTCGAGGGTTATCAGAAGCCTCCGACTGCCCATTACATTCGCGTCGTTCTACGATCCGAGGCTGAGCTATATAAGATGTGGTTCCGAAAGCGGAGAGCATCAGTTGAAGTCAATCAATTGCCCAGCGCATTCAGCATCTGAAACCGGAACCACCAATCCAGAATCAATATGAAATTCTTCTCAGTCGTCACCGTCTTTGTGCTCGGTCTGCTGGCCCTGGCCAACGGTGAGTTGAATCTATAAACTTTCGATACCCGAACAATTAATAAATTAACTATCTTCCCCTCAGCTGTTCCCCTGTCGCCCGATCCAGGAAATGTGGTCATCAACGGCGACTGCAAGTACTGCAATGTCCACGGTGGAAAGTAAGAAAGTTCTTGGCTAAGGATCAACACAAGGCCATAATCTACCTTCAACCCCAGACTATATATTTATAATACCACCTTGTACTAAAATGAAACTTAGAATTTAGAACGACAATGACAACAATAAAAGAACCCAACTAAGAAAAAATATTTGTATTTTAATTTTCTCTACATTTTTCCTAGCTTCTATATCGCTAATAACGTTTTCTCAACTTCTTGATCAAAAGATTCTATAGAAGAACAGCCCAAATGGGGGTACTCTAAAAGCTCTATTTCAAAAAATCATTTATTTTTTTTTGTCACACAATGGTCGACAATCTCCTGTACGGTGCACACTGAAACCGATTCCCTTACCCTATTATTAGGTGGACTAGAGTCCAGTCGACTGGTTTAAAGCGGAGTAAGAGGAAGACAGTAAGCCAAAATAATTAAGTTTATTTACCGGTCTGCCTACCACAAATTTTAGCAAGGGAGTATAGTCGAGTGCCTTGACTATCAAAAAACCCTCTGTTGATCGATTTCAAAATAAAATGCCGGGGTGACGAATATATGTCGTCAGTTCTAGAGCCCTGCACGAGTATACTCGTAGAGCCCTTTTTCTCCCATTTCAAAAAACAGCTCGAGTAAATCAGCTCACAAAAATGTTCAAATCGAATAGCTCAGCTCCTAAATTTTTACAATGAGCTACTCGACTCGTTCGAAAACAAAGGGCTCATGGAATCATAAGCTCATGGAATCATGGGCTCAGTTTTTCGACCGGAGCTGAAAAAACCATTTTTTTTTATTTTGCATTAATTTGGATGAAGGATTTTTGTGGCTTTTTATGCAACCGCAATATCTTAAGATCAACTCGATTTAATATGTTGTCCTCTTCAACAATTATCTTTGTTAAAAATTAAAAAATAATAAAACGTTTCTCCGCCCAAAAATCGCTATAAATAAATAGCTACCCTCGATGGACCGCAATTTTTTTTAACAGTTTGCCAAAAAATTGCTTGTCGACCATAGTTTTCTTGTAACCGTCTCTTCTTTTTTTTGATTCTTAAGAAATCGCGGTCCACCGAGGATAATTATTTTGCTGCTTCTACTAGTGAATAATAAAACGTTTCTCCCCCAAGAATCGCTAAAAAAAATTACCTTCTATGGACCGCGATTTCTTAAGAGTTTGCTAAAAAAAGTACTGGCGGTCGGCCATGATTCCCTTATAATCGTTTTCTCTTTTTGTAAATAAAATACTGTAAATTTGTTTATTGTAAATGTTTGACATTAAGCCCTTGGAGCTATTTCTGTTCGAATAACGTGAGCTGTTTGTTTGGTTTGTTTTTTTGACATGAGCTACTCGAGCCAAACTGTTTGAAAGGGCTCTTGGAATCATAGGCTCATGGGAGGAGCTCTTACTCGATGATCCTATGATCCCATGACCTATGATTCCAAAGTCACAAACAAACAGCTCAAGCTCAAGCTCAGAGCTGATTTTAAACTCTACTCGTGCAGGGCTCTAGTCAGTTCCGAATTACACTGCTAAAAAAACTATAAAAATGTGGGCGCCAGAAAAAAATGTTTATGGTTCTCCGAGGCGAGGCATTTCTGTGGGAGTGGAAAGTTTTGAATTAAACTTGCGCTTCTTAAGAATTCAAATATTTTATCAGAATAACACTGACTTCATATTTTAAAAGTACCTGCGAGTATAGTAAAAAATATTTATACTTAAGTTATATTTTTTCAATTTAACAGACAAAATAGTAAGGTACTTTAAAGCCAAAAATTCTGCTCATGGAAAGTTTTGAATTAAACTTGCGCTTCTTAAGAATTCAAATATTTTATCAGAATAACACTGACTTCATATTTTAAAAGTACCTGCGAGTATAGTAAAAAATATTTATACTTAAGTTATATTTTTTCAATTTAACAGACAAAATAGTAAGGTACTTTAAAGCCAAAAATTCTGCTCATTAATTTTTTCGGTGTAAAAATTAAACTGATTGATTGATTTTTATACCCTTGCAGAGGGTATTATGATTTCAGTCAGAAGTTTGCAACGCAGTGAAGGAGACGTTTCCGACCCCATAAAGTATATATACAGGTGTGTCCCTGAAAACTATAACAATCAAAAAACAACTCAAAAGCAATTGTTGGGTTCCTTCAAAAATGTTCCGACATTTCCATAGCTAGAGGCGTTTTGAAGAACATTTCAGTAGGCTTTTTAAAATGTTTTCCTTTGTAGCCCATATTCAAAATCTTTTTGACTTAAAAAACCCGACATTTGTATTGCTAAAAACAACCCCCTGAAATGTCGGTGTCCCCGAAAAAAATAGAGGTTTAAGTTTGCTTTTTGACACGCACTTGTATGAAAAACAACATAAGGGCTACTCAGTTTCATCCGATACATTTGAATTTCTTTCGATCAGCATTTAAAATTAAGCCGCTGAACACATAATCCAATGCATTTTGTTAAATCTTCTTCAAAATTAATTCGAAAAAAGGTTAACAAAGCCTTGGACATTTATGAAAATGATGCAGATATTTTCAAACTTACAAACTGAACCAAATGTAGGACGAAAAAAATTGACATTTCAAAGCATCAAATTCAGGTTTGAGGGAACCCGACAATTGTTTTTATGTTGCTTTTGATTGAGAAAACAAGGAAAACAAGGGAGTTTCTTAGTTGTTTGTTGTTTTTGAAAGCAAATCTCCGAAAAAACTCTAGTGTTTTCTGGGACACACCTGATATTCTTGATCAGCATCACTAGACGAGTCGATCTAGCCATGTCCGTCTGTCCGTCCGTCTGTCCGTCCGTTTCTACGCAAACTAGTCTCTCAGTTTTCAAGCTATTGGGATAAAACTTTCCCAAAAGTCTTCTTTCTATTGCAGGTAGTATATAAATCGGAACGAGCCGGATCGGACAACTATATCATATAGATCTCATAGGAACAATCGGGTAAAAAAAAAGTAAAAAAATTATATCTTGGGTGTTTTTGAACCTATAACATCCTACTTTTGGAAATGTCACTTTTTATCTAATTTTGAATTTTTCTATATCATATAGCGCCATAGGAAAGATCGGAAAAATAATGGGAAGACTTTAAAAAAATTAATTGGCTTGGGAGAGAGAGCGGTAAAAGTGAAAAAGTGCAAATTTCGAAATTTGGAGCTGTTGGGGCCGGTGGGGATAATTGCCCCCTCGCAATGTTTTAGTTGTGTTCCTATTGAAAATACCCGTCGAATGAGGGGTCATATGATAAAATCCGACGCTCCAGATTTTCTTCGTCTTCCCAAAATGAAAAATTTAATTCTGTTTGTCAGTTTGTCCAAAACATGTTTTTTAAGTTTTGAAAATTTGATATGACGATATCGATATAAAAAAATTTTGTTCTACCACTTTTGGAAAAACTCGCTAGTTTAGCGGGAAAACAGCTATAAATAGCTAAAATTCGGAAAACTTCTAAACAACTAAAGCTACAGACTTGTGCTGCATCTCGTTTGAAAGGTATTTTTAAATGCTATAAATGCCCTTCATATGTAATTTGTGTAAATGTAATAGTTAATAAGATATGAACAAAAGAAATTTTTTTTTAACTTTCTTTTTAGCTTTTTTTTAATTTTCTCAAAAACGGCTCTA